AATTATATATACATATCAATAATTTTCCTTTTTGAATAAATATATAAATATAAATAAATATAAATATATAAAATATATATATTTTTATTCAGAATTGAAAATAAAATATTTGTAAACATGACCAGAAGAACATACCTCAAAAGAAATAATAAAATGTTGTTTGAATTGTTTATGTACCCATATAGTTACACATATAAGTTTGAGTTGTTAGTAAATGTTACTTAAAAAAGAAAAACGGTAAAAATGGATATATTTAGTTCGTGATTATTCGTAGATGAGTAATAATAATCCAAACACTACCTATAATCTTGCAAAACGACAAGAAATTGAGAAAATGAACATCAGCACAACCTAACTCAAATCACACTATTTACAAAGCACAATATGCAGCATTTTAGCTTAGCTTTCCTCGATCCTGCTGCCTGTGTTGCACTTCAGCCATATTATACATTTTAATTTCAACCAAGGCCTCAGTTTTGATATAAAAGTCTCATTTCTGTGTCTCTCACTTATCAAGTTTTGTTCTTCGTGGATTAATGATTTACCTAAAGTTGTGGTCAAAGTCCTTTGATGATCTTCCAAGGTAAAATAAATTAATTAAGAACCCATTGCGGATTCACCCTCGGTTCTGCCTCAATCAACTGATCATAGAGTTTCTGTCAACTGGGTTCCTTCCTATCAACCTACTGCCAAAGGTTTGTCCACTTTTGCCAACCTTTGCAACAGGCTTGTCTACTGAGAAAGGGCAAGGGTCATCTGAATCCTCCTTTTCTTTCTTTTGGGCGAAAGCAAGTGGTACACCGACGCACTTCTACCATAGCGGTTCAAGGGGAAGATTTGGAGAAAACAATCACGTAAAGCCGTTCAAAAAAAAAAAAAAAAAGGTTAATCATACGTAAATGAGACATTTTAGCATTTTTTTCGTGTAGCAATGAAACATTTTAACTAGTTTACCTCCGGTATGGGAATATGCATTCACCTATTCACCTATTCACCAATCTGTGAGGTACATTTGATGGTATCATGGACATGAAGAAAGGCATGAATCATAAATTAATTAGGTACATAAATTAAAAAGATGTCAAGAATATGCCCACTTGATATTTGCCCAAATTCTCTGAATCTCAAAAGTGTGCCAGTACCTTCCGAAAAAGAAAAGATAATTAAGTCAAGAAACCGGCAAAAACCAATTTGCTCTCATAAGAAGTTACGTTACGTGAGCTGACAATAGGACGACCTTTGTTTGTGCGAAGAGAGACAGAAATTATTTAAATTAATTTTAGTTGCGTATCAACAAACATAAGACAAACGGAGCACATAAAACGACCAAACATGTGTTTTGTAACCTCTGAAACAAAGGGGTTATCTTTTCGGGCAACGGCCAATCTCCATTTTTGTATAATGGTCGCAGGCGAATCATGCAAAAAACCCCCTGAACTTGACTATCAGTGGCACATTAGCCCCTAAACCAAATTCAGAAGCATACCACCCCTTATACTCTTTCACAGTGACAAATAAGCCCTTGTTTAAAGGTTGACGTCATCGTTCCATCAAATAACTAACGGTGCTCTTGTTTTACTCTACTAGCTGCTGAGTTGGAAACAAAGTGGGTCCTATGTCATCAAACCTATTTATATTAAAACATTTTATGAAACAACAATTTAAAAGTAAGAGCATCGAGCCCTTTGGCTCAAGTGGCAACAGCCACTCACGGTGCTCTTCCCCTCTCCCTGGGCTGAGTTCGACCCAACCCTTGTAAAACCTGTTAAAAAAAAAAAACAATTTAAAAGTAAAAATTTTAAGTGCTTCTATTCATGTAGAGCCAAAACTTTTTCTTTTTCTTTTCTTTTCTTTTATCTGTCGCATATAATTAAAGTATTTTATAAATTTTCATTAAAAAAATTACAACTTGTTCTTTGTATTTCTCTTTATTTATGTGGATTACGAGGAATAAATTAAATTCAAACTTAATTTTCTATCTTTATTCTTCATTTTGTGTCCAATTTTTTTTTTATTATTTGTTTTTCATTATTTGTCGTCCAAACTTAATTTTTTTATTTGTCTAAATATAGAGTTATAGAGGAGAGATAAATTTTATGTTGTATATAAAATTTGGAGTTTATCATTGATGATTTACAGTTTGGTTTGGATCAAAATTATGTGTTCAATTTCTTTTCTTTTTTTATTACTCTGGCTCTAGGATTAGACAAGTTATAAAAGGAGAAATCATGTATATTTAAGCTAAATAAGTTAAATTTTTTTTTTTGATGATTCTGTTGTTAATATACTTAAGTAGTGAATATATCTATACATTTTTTAATCTAATTTTTTTTATAATTCTACTGTTATTATTATTATTATTATTATTATTATTATTATTATTATTTTACTGCCCAATACCCGGATTAATTATTCATTTTAATATGATTCATTTTAACAAAATTTGATTTAAATAAATAATATATACTGAAAAATTTTAAAGTTGAATTTATTAATGAATAAGTGTTTTTTTATAAGCTAAATTTACAATTTAAGTCTTAATACCTATACTTAAAAAAGTAAAATTTTTAAATATATCAAACTAATTAAGGGTATTTTAAATTACTTGAAATAGGATTAGTATTTAAGTATGTGGAAACTACCAAAGAACATTCTAATAGTAATTAATAAAAAAAATAAAAACTAAAAGTGGTACATTTTGTAAATTTAGAATAATGTGTAATTTACCAACAACTTGTTGGTTCGAGTGGAAAGAGCTCGATTCTCCTTAAGTAGAATTTCGAATTCAAGTCTTGTAAATAGAGAAATAGGTGTTGGAAGAACTTCCCCCCTAATCAAATTCAATGCGGTTCAATTCTGAATTAGTCGGAATCCAATGTGATTACTGGATACAGAAAGTTTGATAAAAAAATAATAATAATGTGTAATTTAATTTAAAAAGTATATTATACTTTTACTTTTTTATTTATTTTGAAGTGATCCCACGTGCATGCAATTGTCAGCCTAAACTCGAAAACCCACAAAATGAAGGCTCCGTTAGTTTTTTGACGGAACAATGCGTCAATCGTCAGACAAGAGCTCATTTGCCACTGCTGAAGAGTATAAGGGGTGGTGTACTTCTGAATTTGATTAAGAGGCTAATCTGTCATTGATAATCAAGTTTAGGAGGTATTTTGCATGATTCGCCATGGTTGCATATCCTTTTTCTTTTTATCTCAGAACTGAATGGGTAACTATTTTGTGATTGGTCCCCTTGATTTCATCTGTTCTTTAATTTTAGAGTTTAAACAAATTCATCAATCGTTTCCCACTTGTAGGGCAAGTGTAAAAGCCACTTTACCTTGTTTAACGTCGAAGGGTTCGAGGTTCTGGCATAAGCTTATGCTTTGTAAATTGCAAAATCCCCATTCCTAACTAAGGAGTTGTAGTTGAGGAGGGAAGGGAGTTTGTTGTTTATTTTATTGATAAAAATTTAATTTAAAAAAAATAAAGAAAGAAATATTGATAAATTTGTTAGTTTTAATTTGAATAGAATAATTTTAATCAAATTAAAAAAAGATTACTCTAAAAATACCTACAAATTAATTGAGAACACCCTCACCCGTTAAAAAAAAAAATCCCCATTCCTATCCCGCGCAATTACAAAATTAAAAAAAGAAAGAAAAAACAATTTTATCAATCTCTGTGTTCATAGTCCACGTGTTGATTACAGAAATACTTGATCTGAATGATTCCATAGATTTCTGCATCGGTTGAGACACAGAAAATGATGAAACATTGAAACGTGTATGTTGTAGGAAATTCTAGTGTAATTTGGGGGAGGGGAGCAAGGGGTGGTGTGGTGTCCTACCTTTGTTTGACTAAATAAATACTGGGAGACCTAAATGGGCAAACTGTGCCCTAAAGACGCTTTCAATCTTATGTGGCCCAGAGGCAAGAAACCGTGCCCCCCCTAAATAAACTCTTCTTTTCAATCCTTTCACGCTCTTGCGGAGGCCGTGCGCTTGTTTTCTCTGAGGTGCGTGTAATAACGAATTACGTAGTTATATGGCTCAGCTTAAAATGTTTTTCTTTTTAGTAATTTTTTATATAAATATTAAATTTTATTAGATAAAAATTTAAAAATGATTTTGACTTTTAAAATAATTTTATAAAAATTTCAAAAAAATTGTACATTCCAAACTCTCTAAAATTATATACAAATTAATTATAGTGATTAATAAGTTGAGAAGGACAGAGAGCACGAATCAAGGACGGATGATCTTAATGACCATGGGGAAAATTAATAAATGTATTAGAAAATTTTGATAATATATTAAGGAAATAGTGTCCATCTGCCTTATCTTCTAAAAGTTAAGAGAAAAATTATCTCAAAGTTACATTATTTTAATAAAT